AACAGTAAATAGGCTTTTCATGGCCTGAAATGTGGATTTATGATTTTAAGTGCTGCATTGAGCAATGTGAATGTTTTCAAATCTAATCCTTGAATCCTGTAATTGTTATAGTCAGTTTTTCATTCAGCAATAATATGTGATTGATTTGGAAAGGTGCCACGTTTTCTTTGTTTTCTTGTTTTGGCTCATTTGCCGCTCATTGTCAGTGATTCAATTAAAAACATGTTGATTCATTCCGAGCCAAACTTGTATTTTGTGTCAGTAACATTGTCTCAAACCTTCCAAGCCTGACTTCACACACCCGTCCTCTGATGATATTCCAAACAATTTTCAGATGGTCGGCGTTTGGTCTTTGGAGAGCCTCCTCAAGCACGACTTTAATCTCAAATCACTGCCTGCCCACTCGTCACCTCCTCATCCTCAGCAGCTGCTCTCTCCTGCCCAGTCCTGGAGGAATTTAGCACTAGCTAAAACCTCGTTTTATCTCTTAGCACAACAACTTAAAACATCAATGGAGCAAAGCTCAAAGCCTAATACCTTCACTCTCAAGCGCTTTTCCTCTGATAAACCTCACTAGCACGCCCGTGCCTTGTATTCCTACAAAGAGTCAAGTGGAGGAGGATCGGTTTTGCAGCGTGCAGGTGTGGGTGGTTTCAGGGAGAGAAGGGGAGTGCAGCTGGTTGGGGTCAGGCTCGCTCAGTGTGCTGAATGACTAATGAAAGGTTTATGGTGGCGCAGCATGACTGCCTAGTCTGAATAGTGGGCTGGAGGAAGACACGCCTTGTCTGGTTTCTAGCTCCCTCCTGGACGGTCTGTGGTTAAAAACGAAGATTTAACAAGTTCTCGCCGAACATGGGGGTCACAAGCCTTCTCTTAACAAGCTCATTATTTCACATTGTTTTTGTCCTTTGCTCCTCCTCAGAGGCTGTGGCAGGGAAAAGAAATAATGTTTGATGTATGTGTCTGTAAGGGAGCTGAATAAGGATGTTTGAGAGGAACAAGCACTAATGGATCCACTAATGATGTGCCCCTTGCTTATGTGAATCCTTGCAGTAATGTTGGGCTGTGTATGAATATTCAGAGGCTTTTGTCTCGCAAAGAGAAGCGGCTGCTCAAGGTTTTTTTGAAGGGCAACAGTGGGACATGACTCAGAACTTGAATTTGCTTTTTAATCACCTTCTATCATCACATTTACAGAGTATAATGAAAACAAAACCAACAGCATTTGTTTTTTATTCATTAAGTGGAAAACTGTGTTTTAATGTGGATAATTTTTTTTTTCTTGTAACTGATTGCAATAAAAATGCAGAGCTATCAAATCTATTCAATTCAGTTTGTTCTTATAGTGCAATTCACAAAGCACCTATTCTCAAAGCGCTTTCCCCCCAAAAAAGTCAAGTCAAAATGAAGTCTCAATGTCAAGGGATAAAAACAACTTTTCAATAGATGAACTTTTATATTAGTAAAGCACATGAGTGGCTCCATAAAGTTTTGTAGTCAAGATGGGAGCCACTCAATATTCTGGGTATTTATTTAGGTATCCAATAAAAAGACAAAAACTTTATTTAACAAATTTGAAGTTTTTGTTAGTATGTTTGCTTTTTATCTGAAAGGTTTTGTTAGTTTTGTGACAGATATAACCAAGTTACTTATTGGCCTCATGTTTGTATCTTGGAGTGATCTTTGTAGGTCAGCCATTCCTGGTAGGTTTCACCATTGTTCTATGTTTTTTCTCTATTTAGCTCAGTCTGTGGTTTGTAGAATTTAAATACCTTTTTTTTTTACTTTTTGCAGACTCAGACATGTCAACAACTTTATTATTCACCTTGAAATTTTTTACAACTTTACAAGTACACTATGTTGCTTTTTGGTGTGTTCGAGACTAGTTCCTGTTGTCAAACAGGTTCTGGTTCATTTATTTCTTGAGTTTAAAGATCTGACAGTGTTCAAGCCTGGGTGGGATTGTTCAGTTTCATTAAAGACGCAATTAATACCATTAATTCATGATTTAGCAAAATATCAATTCCATTTTTATACAGGGTCAATTGGACTAATTTGTTTCCTAAAGCAGATCACGCGTTTAAAACATTTCAGCCCTCGGTGCCATTCTGTTTCTATAAAAACAATATTTGGGATTCTCTGAGACAAGACAAAGCAAAGGATCTATTCAAGGTTTAACTTGAACAGATTGAAATGATCATAAGGTCTAATGAATATTTGTTTTGTATCTTACGCTATTTTCACACTTTTGTTTTATTTTTGAACAAAGTTCTATTTCTGCTTTTCTATATGTGGTTGCTTTTTAAATATTGATAAATTGAAAATGAAATGAAAATAAATCCCATCATGCTTTAAACACAATTTGAATTTAAATTAATCATGATAGATATTCCTATTTCACTGGTTGTTTTTATATTGGCATCTGTGTCAAAATAACTAAAAGCATCCAGTTAGAACAATATAACTTTTGCAAAAAAATATTTTGTATCTGCATGCGTATGTGAATTTATAGACCTTTTTTGTTTCACTCACTGTGAAGTTTCCCTTCTGAACAATTTATTACTCTTTCACTGCACAGCGGTGAAAATCAATAGCATAGTTATACTGAGTAGAATTGAGTGAGTGTGAAATTGCAATCAAACGGAAACTATTAGCTTCACCAAGTGGATACTACAGAGAAAAAAATGATGTTTACAAATCCCCTTGAAATTCAGTTTACATAGCTGTATTAGCTGCTTCATTCATTCTTTGCAATGAAATAAATGCACCTCTGATGTCCGTTGTATGTATTTGAGATGTAACTCTATATCTGTAACTAATGGAGAAAATCTGTAATAAATATGAACATGTGAATCACATCATTCTTTTTAAAATTCTTTAAATTAGTTTGTTGTATTATTATTGTTCAATCCTGATAAAAAAAAGTATTTCTAGTGTATTATTTAATATACCACAATATGACATTTATTTCCCAAATAAATGGATGTAAGCTTTCAGACAGCAATGTATGCGATTTCTATATAAAAATATAGAAGTTTTTAAAGTTTATACTTGGATTAAGATGTAGAAACTATCAAAGAGAATTCCCAATATTCTCTTTGGAAAAACGGCCAGACACTGGACATTTTCTTAAAAACCAGTTAAATCCATGGAGATTTCAATTACCACTTTAATGGGAGGCTCAAGTTCAATACCCATGCATGTTTTAAACGCTGTTCCTGTTTGAGACTACAATGGGCTCCATCAGTTCATAACAGCAGACACACAAAATAAAAAACTCTGCTATCGCTGGTCTCTAATGTGCTTCCCAGACGATGGTATCTTGGTTGTGATAAATATTCATGGATTGCATGTGTGGCGATGTAAATTTAAATGAAAAATTCACATCCCACATGTACCGCCAAATAGGGTTCGGTGATTAAATAATACACCAGCATCCAAACAAGATCAGAGGATGTCAAAGGCCGTCGACTCAGACCACAACTCCTTTTTTCTCTCTTTTCTCCACTTCTCGTTCAAAAGAATGAAGACAAAGACTCAACACTCATTGCCACACAGCAACAGCAAGCTTGGTGGTGCATAGTAATCTAAAACAACACTGAACCAAAGCAACATATTTTATTCCCTCCCCACTGAGGCGTGTCTAAGTTTGAGTTAGGGTAGTGCACATCTCATCACTTAAGGGAGGTTTGTGGCCTGCATCAACAGACCCCCTCTCCTAAACCCCCCTCATGCAGGTTCCTATCACTTCCACACTCAAATTGGAAGTGACAAGCCACTCAGGCAGAGGTGTCTTCAACCCCCCCTCCCCACCTTGCCTGCCCAAATCAACAGCCATGCAGCCCCACTCGGAGCTGTCAGTTTGATTACATATCAGCATGATGGGAGAACCTTAGGAAAGAAGATGTCCAGCTGGAGACGGACCACTAAACACATCGTCTGTCCTTCTGCAGCGCATCTGCCAATACACATCGCACCTGTCCCAAAAACAACACGAAACTGTTTTCTATGTCTCCATTGGTTTCCCACTGTCCTCTGGAAATTTATCAAGCTGCCTCTTTATCCACTCTGTACAGTAAATTAAATCTTTTCCCATTTTCTTACAAATCTATTTGATTCTTCATGTTTGGTCACTAGCCTTTTTTCAATTTTTTTCTTTTTCTTTCTCCACATTGAGCACAACTCCATTTCCTTGCTTGTGTAAGTTCATTCCTAACACAGCATATTGAGCTACTTATCTTTTACTTGTGTAATAATCAGGCTTTCATATTTTTATTATAATTTAAAAGGAGCGATGTAAAGTAATGGGAAGTACTTAATTATTGGAGTTTATGAACTCACAACTTTGCATGGGCCAGGGAGAGAAACTCACAGTAATATAATAATGAATGAAAGTATTATACATCTCTAGGTATGCATAAAAATGTAGTGTAACATTAAGAACACAATAATTGTACTTGTTTCAGACCAAAAAAAACATTTATGCCCACTTCTTCAAAAATATATTCACATTGATTATTGCAGTGGTAATAATGTAAGACAAATGATAATTATAAAAAAAAAACACAACAAAAAAAAAATAATACCAGTTAAATTTCGTAGTGGTTTTCAAGTAAAGATACTTATCTTTCACAATTTAATGCATGTTTACTTCAGTTTCAAAATGGCAAAAGAATGATGGATGATTCTCCCATTCCTGGTTTCTGGAAATATAGATATTTCCAGACCATGAAATTAGTGTTTTTATTTAGTGAGGGGGAAAAGAGTGTTAGTTTACAGGCAGTTTACAGGCGGTGCACACTGCTGCATTTCTGTATGCAACATATAACTGAAAAAAAACTGTATAATTGAAAATTTCAGAGGTTTTGGTCATGTAAATGTTTATAATCTTGGTAAAGCTTGACACGGGTATCTGGCCCATCTCTTAATTGTTTGGCATATGGATAAAAATGCTTAACAACTGACATTTTTGTCTTTTTTTTTTCTTTGTGTCTCACCAGGAATGAGCTCTCCACGGCAGTTCAAAGAGGTACGTAATGACTCTGTTTCTCCCAACACACAGTCACACAGGTTTCTCGTGACTTGTTATCTATCAGAGGGGAAAAAAAGTGATTGTCAGCCTTGTACCTCTCAGCGAGTCTGATAACATCTGTGTCGAGACGCTGACCCTACACTGTCCCTGCAGTCGCTTTACTGAGTAGACAATCCCACTTTACCAAGGGCAGGTTCCTTTCTTTCAGATTATTTCTCACAAAACGATTTTTTTTTAATCATTGCTTTCATCTATACAGCATCAACACCAAGGATTTGATCTGTTTTATGTTTGTTGCAAACAACAGAAAAATACAACAATAACTATGGAGAGAGCAATTCTTGATTTTCCATTGAAGCTTTAAGAGCTGATGCAATAAATGCTTTTCAGATAGAGCTGTACTTTAAAACTAATTACTAAATATTGAGTGTTGCATAGTTACTTTGATAAATTATATAATGACAATTTACAAAAAATTTAAAGCTCAAACATTTGAGGTTTTTATTTGCCGTAATAGCCATATACATTTCAATTACATAAACATTTCAAAAAGAAATTTGCTCTCCTTAAGAACTGTGTTTCTTAAAAGGTGCATACAGCCATTTATTATTGAGTAAAGGATTTGACAAAATCACCAATGTCACTAAAGAAATAACAGTGGCTACATTTGGCACTACTGCATTGACTGCTTGCATTTGGCCTCTACAGTATAAAGTTTATCTTTTCAGGGAAAAAAATACTTAACATAATTACAACTCAAAACTTACTAAGAAGCGGCAAACACAATAACATTTTCAAGATTGCTGTTCAAGACTCATTCTTCCCTCATGAAACTTATTCAGGTCAGAGATGTTCTCTCAATGCGTGGTGCGTTATTGCTTTGTCTCTGCATGATCCACATCAACAGAGGATTTGTTGTTAGTTTTTAAGCAGTGAGGAAATATTACTTTGTTTACATTTATTGTTTTGTCTCAAGCTGACAGACAGTAACAAAAACATTATTTCCTGAGATACCCTTTATAAATATGTCCTCCTTTCTCCATTATCAGTTTAGGGTGTTTGTGCTACACACAGATTGTAAGACATCTGGCTGCTACTCAGAACTTCTTGTTTTAACTCACTAAATTTTGTGATTTGGCACCAGCTTTTCTGTCATTATGACTGATAAAATGTGTTGGATTTGGGCAACAAATCTGAACAGTTCTAAAGTAACTAACTATTAATTTATTAAACCAGTATTCAAAGTATTTATTCTTCATGATCTTTAAGTTTACTTGGTAAGTTGAGTTATTTTGAGACTTTTTATCAATGCAATAACTTCTCTAAAAGTTTTTTTCTGAGGTGTTGTCACTTGTGATATTTGTTCACTAATATTCTCTAACAAACATGTTTGCTCTTTAAGATGCATTCATTATTTTTAGTGTTGTCCAAACTTTTTCCAAATCGGTACGTTGAAAGCATTCGGATGCCATTTTTTTCCAGCTTAAAACACAAAACTTATTTTATTTTTAATTTTAAATTTCTTCCTGCTTTTACCCATTTTAATCAAATTGAGAAAACAACTAAGTATTGCAGATGTTTGGCTTAATAAAATGAAGTCATACTGTTTTCCAACTTTTGGGGTTTTGTTTTTGTTTTAGTTTATTGTCTAAAAAGTCAAGCTACTTACTTTCATATTAAAAAAGACAGCAAGAAATATGGTTGACAAAAGAAACATCATTTCCATTTGCTGGAGGGCCTAATTTGTGCCGTTCTTGCACTGCATTCAGGGGCCACACAAAAATATCCCAAGGGCCCCATTTTGAACAACCTTGTTTCATAATATGCTGACTTGTCCTCTGCTCTGCTAATAAAAACAACCACATATTAGATATCACATTAAATAAATGGTTGGCATGATGATTGATCCTTTGAGCCACATGCAGTTAAGTGTTCAGATAGTTCACCAGTGAGAGAGAGAGAGCATGTTTCACTTGTAGACAATTCATCAACTAGGTTTTATGGGCTCTCAGCTGACCCTTGCCTTCTCCTTTTTCTGCTGTATTCATCGGCAGCAAGGAGACTTACAGCACAGAAAAACCTAAAAAAGAGATTTTGCAGCATAGCTTTTTGTGTCCAGCTTAACTTGCACATTAAACAGACAGGGAGGAAACACTTCCTATTTTTCTCCCTTTATATGTCCCTGCAGATGAAAGAATGTGGCCTTTTGAGTCAGAAAGATGAGGACCGGAGATTTATGATGGCCCTGTCACCTTGTCTGTAGTAAAACTAAAATTATACATCTAGTCCATTGGCTTAATGATGTCATTACAGCATTTAATTGAAATAAAATGTCAGAATGTGTGATGGCCTTAGCCGTCGTCTGATGATAATCAGGCAGTAGATGATTCTAATTTACATTCCCCATTCAGTGTTTATAAGACATTTATATGATGTTACAGCTCCATTTATTGATAGGTCACGGATTCCATTGAGCTCTATGTGACATTTGCAGTTCACAAAGTTATACCTTTGTTTAAGCAGTGGTAAAACAGCACCATCAAGTGACCAATTTGAGAAAAATGCCTGGGAAAGATGTGATTTTTTGGAGGGTTTTTTTCAGACAAGCACATTCTTGCTTCCCATTTTTAGCACAGAGTGTATATTTTTGTTTTGTTTCGTCTCTCATGTCTGCTGCTTTTTCATTCTTTCTGTGTTGTCATTGTTTGATCAGGGCCTCCAAGCAGCAGAAGCCAACCCCGTCTCCCCAATGCAGCACCCGAACGTTGAGGAAAGCAAACAGAAAGCTACCACTGTCTCTCAGGAGCAGGATATAGGCACCCCTCAAATCACCAAGAGACAACGAAAACTACTGAAAACAAGTCCTCAGATCATTCACAGCAAAAATGTCTCCCTAACATCTCTTCCTGGTTTTTCTGCAAAGGGGAGCCTGAGTAACCTCTCAAGTATCTTAGAAGCACGGAAGCAGGTAATAAAGAATATGTGTGCAAAATATAAAAGCGGCATCTCAAGGACGATCACACCAGATCATGTGAAATACATATATGTGGAGGAGAAATACAAAGTATTGTACTGTGAGGTGCCCAAATCAGGTTGCTCCAACTGGAAGAGGACCCTTATAGTGTTGTCGGGCAAGGCGTCCAAACCAGACAGCCTTAATCATGAACAGGTACACTATGGTGGGTACCTCAAGACGCTGAACAGATTCAACCAAAAAGAAATAATGCACCGTCTCCAAACCTATAAGAAATTTATGTTTGTCCGTGAGCCCCTGGATAGGGTTGTGTCAGCATACAGGGACAAGTTTGAGAATCCCAATGACTACTACCACAATCTGTTTGGAAAACCCATCATATCAAAATACAGGGTGGCACCATCTGCAGAAGCCCTTAAAACTGGCAATGGGGTCACATTCAAGGAGTTTGTGCAGTACTTGCTGGATGGACATCGACCGGTGGGAATGGACATCCACTGGGAGCAAATGAACAAGCTCTGCCACCCTTGTCTCATAGACTATGATCTGATCGGTAAGTTTGAGAACATGGGGGAGGAGTCCAACTTCCTGCTGCGAATGATTGGAGCACCGGACAGCCTCAAACTACCTAGTTTTAAAGACAGGAATCCAAAAGACGCGCGGACCTCTAAAGAGATCACAGAAAGATACTTTTCCCAGGTCAGCTTGATGGAGAGACAGAGAGCATACGACTTCTACTACATGGACTATCTGATGTTCAATTACTCCAAGCCTTTTAATAATCTTTACTAATCTATCATGTGCCATGGGTCGTTAAAAAGTAACATTCCACATCTACATCTCTACCATGGTTTTAATCTTAACACAAATAGCAATTCATGTGCATCATTTGGTTCTTTGGACCCAAGCAGAGACCAAATATTTGGATTTAATAAAACCTGTTTTTTCTTGGGGGGCAGGGGGGGTGTTCACCACAAATATTTTAATCATAGTATTTAAGTTGTATTAAATTGTCCAACTAAGCAATGATTTATATAAATGTGTAAACACAAACAAAGTGATAGAGTTAATAGACTTTAATCTTAGTGTGAGTCAGGTAGGCCTTTTAATAAATGTAAGTGAGTAATGGGCAACAAAATCTATAGTGAAAAGGGTTAAACAGAAAAAAAAAACAGAGTAAAAAAACAGAAAGCATTCAAACAACATGGACCTTCACAGAAAAAGTAATCACTGCTCTTGTTAAATCATGAATTGACTGTGCTGCACCCACAGCTGATTACTGTGAGAGCTCCAGAATCAAGTTTTAATTTTTATAGAACCTGCTTGACAACATTGACATGGCTAAAAGATTAATCTCAAAAAGTAATGCATCTTTCCCCGATCTAAAGAGAAAAATTTGAGAAGAACAACGCCAAGGTGAAAACTAATACTCTTTAGAAAGAGGGTTGTCTTACATTGTCTTACAATGCATTCAAAGAAAGGGAAAAGTTTGGGAAAATATTCTCAAAAGTGATGAAATGAAACTGAAACTACATCCCATTGCATTACACATTGATAATAACCTTTCAGAATATAAATATCTGACTGTTGCTGCTTTGGGCTCTGAATGACTTGCTGTAATTGTAATTCTGCTCTGTTGAAAAATCCAGAAGGAAAATGTCTGTTCAGTTTGTGATCTGCTCAAGGGCATGTGGGTAGGAACATTTACCAAAGTTCACCAGCAACTCCTCTGGCTCAAAACAAATAAGGTTTTTCTCTCTACTTTCAACAGTTTTCTTGAAAATAGAGTTTCTCCACAAGCTTAACAAAAGACAATTATATTTATCAGAAATGCTTGTTGGCTGGTATTTTGTGTTAAGTTTTACAGTTAATTCATGATTTGAAAAGGTTTTAATTACTTTTCCACATATGGCCAGGTTGGTTTGAACAACTTTATTTCTACATTGTTTCTCCTCAGTTAATATTTTCCCTGATATTAGAATTAGTTTGACAAACAAAGACATTTGAATGTGTCAAAAAAGCATCACAGCTTTGTAACTTTGAATTACTACTGTTTAATTCTTTTAAAAAATGTTTCATTTCTATTGGCCTCAGTTTTTGAAAATCGACTTCTTTTATTTTGAAATGTTTTTTCATATATTATGTGACTTACAGTAGGTCAGACGTCAGTATGCCTCTGTATATGAGTTCTAATGCAGATCATTTGTGTAAATGGCTTTACTAATATAAACTATAACAAACTTACACTCTTAATATTATGAGTAAAAAAAACAAACTTTAAAATGTGTCAAATGCTGCCCGCTTGAAAGCTGTGTGCACTTATAGTAGCATTTTTATACTTCTAACACAAACATAATGTATATGTAGTCTAACTCATAACTGTGCTGTGGGTCTGCCGTCAACAGAGGTTGTTTCTGGAGGTTGTTGGTGTAAATGCAAGGCATCTCTATATTTGCAAGGTAAAAGTTGTTGTTGCCAGTATTCCTGTATGTTGGTGGTGCTGACTTGCCAGTCAATCAAATCCCTCAAAATGAAATGAGCAGCATGCTGTTGTTATGCAGACAAAAACAGTTGCAGTTGATTTCAGTATTGTTTTCCTTTAAGTATTGGATGTGGACGAGGAAAAGATTGTGGCCATCAGCCGCATTAAATATCTCCTGAACAGCTTTCACTTCCAGATCTCACGCCGTTCGTAGCCCTATTTATATGTATCACATGTAATCTTCACTACTGTACAGGCTTCTTTCTGACTCTACTGAGTAGAATTGTATAATGGGCATTCAGATTACTATATATTTTTCTACGTATTTCTAAAATCCATGTGAATATAAAAAAAAAGGTATATTTAGTGCTTCTTGGTGAAAGTACGTTTAACTCTATTTGATGTCATTTTTCTCTCTTTGAGTAATACAAGTGTAGTATTGTGTCACTGAAGAGTTTCTTTCCAAAGCTGAATATCCACCAGCAGAAAATCTTTCTGAAGTCGTAGGAACAAATTGAGCACACAAGATTCTGCGTAGGTGAAATTGTAACAGTTGGTGATTTAAGGTGCGTTTCCACTGCAGGAACCTTTTCCAGGAAACAAAGGTGTTTTTTTTTTTTTTTTACCTTGGTTTCCTTTTCAGAAACAAGGGCCAAATTATATAACCAAGGTAGAAATATATGCAAAAGCTGTTCTGATAGAGGTGGGAAAAAAAATTGATGGCCTTTGAGCTGTGGTTGCAAGATAATTTTTTACAGGTTGAACATATCCCAGGATTCTGTTCCAGTCATCCCAGCTTAACCTCTTTACAGTTAATTTTAAATAATGAGACAAAAGTAATTATTAATGGTGTTTGCAAACCATATAAATCACTCGCTCTTGTTGAGCATCATGTTAACATTCAAGCACATTAATGAAATCATCTAAGCTTAGTGGTTAATTGAATAAATTAAATGAATCACAGATTTCTACTTTCAGCCTTCTGTGGAAATTGGAGAGTAACATTTGTGTGAAAGCTGATTTTTAGACATTTTAACTGTCAATGTTATAATATTATATCACATTTATATTTTCAGATGCATTAATTAATGCATATCTTTGGTTTTATTTTAGTTTAGCAGACACATTGAAGCTTGTGCAGCCTTTGAGTCCTGTCAATGGAGGCTTTAAGTTTTAAAACTCAGTGCATTTTGTCCTTTTTCCTTTTTTCTCAATTGATTCACAACAAAATCTTCCAAAGTTAAAGTTGCAACTATAACTTAAAAATTATGAATGCAAGTGACTCTGTAAACTATAAAGAGTGATCACAATATCAGATATGGTTGTCTAAGTCATTGTCTGTGACTCAGAGTCAGTGCACATAGTGTGTGAGTGACCACAGACAAAATGCACATAAAATGCAAGGATAAAAAAATGTTTCCAGGAAATTAAGTCCCTCTGGAATAATTCTGGGTCTCATTGTGGAAATGCACCTTTAGAAAAGAAAGCATCTTATTCTGTTAAAAAAAAGAAAAAAAATGAAGGATATATAAAAGTTTGGAAATAAGCTCTTTAATTATTTAAACTCTGATGTATGATGAGCTTAATTCAACCTCATAACACATCTTGGCTCCTGATATTTTTTTAACCCCAAATTAGTTGTGTGTGTGCTTCATGGATGGCACTGAATGCGGTTTTTAGATCCTTGTCACAAAAAAGCGTCTTTCACCCTTCTGAAAGTGTATATTACAGAAACACTGCGGAAATACACTGGAGCAGCACTATCATCTCCATGATAATACACCACTGATATATTCCTCACACAGAATGCAACTTTCAAGACATAAAAGCACGAAAAGTGCGTTCTGTTTGGACTCAAAAGTCAGATTTTCCAAAGTCAGCAATCATCAAGTAACCGAGCAGGTTCAGTATCTTATACAGCTTGTGAAATCTGCAGATGCTATTGATAACACTTTCTACACTTTATATCTTATTAAACCAGTTGCACTTAGGGTGATGTAAAATATCTATGAGTAAAAGTGTTCCTTTTAGTGGTTTTAAACACTTAAGATGGAGAGAAATGCATTGTTATTGTCTTGTATTGCTAACGGTAGGTAGCAACACAGCAACTCGTAAATCCTACTGGTTTTCCCAATCAGTGTGACATCATTCCCAGATCCAAGCTCCAACTTCTTAGACAAACAGAACGCAGCGTAAGACTTGCTTTTAGTTGTTGTTGTTATTTGTCTCTTTGATGCAGGTCACACTACTTAATGTGCACTAACCTTCTCACTCATGCATACTTGCACTTTGTAATCATTTGCTAAATTACATTTTAACTGTAGAGTTAAGCATGGCTTTAAAATTAAGAGAAAAAAATAAAAATTGTTCAGACTGTTGGCTCACTGTGAACCTTCAATCTGACTAATAGCTGAAATGAAGGTTGAGGTCTCTAAATTACCATTTACATTTACATTGATTTAGCTTTAGCTTGCAGGATAAATTGAGGGGGGAAATGACTACATTTCTGACACACAAGACAGTAACTTCAAGGTAACAATTTGTAACTAAAAATATTTATGTTTTTACGCCTATTAAAACCTAATTAATCATTATTCTGCTTTGCGCTTTTGCTCTCTTGAAATGTTTGTGTTGAAAAGTGAATAATGGGGAAATTAATTTCTCTGTTGAATACAATAAAATGTAATTCATAAAATCTATGCCACACATTATAACAGGTTTCATGAAAACACTGTCACCAGAACAATATAAACTTTAACTGGTGTTAATTATATGAACATTTTGTGGAGACATACTTGGCTTCATTGCCAGGTTCTACCTATTGTTGAGGTTTTGGGTAAACTCTGTCCTTTTTGCCAAGCTGTTGCCAAAGCAGTTATTGCATTATGAAAAGTGTTGTTACACCGTTGTGTTGAGGTAACTGGGGACAAATTTATCATGAGCATAACTACAGTAACAAGTGAATGTATAACCTATTCTTGGTGCAAATGTGTGAAACTGATTATCTTAAGCCCTTTGCCTTATTTTTACACTGCCTATCTAATGGTGTATTTCAGGAAGACCTTTTTCAGGTGGTTATTTCTGGCTGATGAGTGTCTACTAATAAAACTGTCTTTTAGCATATTCACTGTGTTTTCATGTTTTCATTCTTTTATTTTCTTACCAGATTATGTAAAGTCAAGATTTGTTTCAGGACAATGCATTCTGACAGATTTTATGTGTAATGGAGCTAAGGCGTAAATTCAAGCTGGGAGACAGAACACAGCTGATCTACAAACAAAGCTGATCCACTTCAATCACGTCACACCCCGCTGCGGCCAATCAGGATCGGCGCCCTTGCGCGTCCCAGCAATCAACGTCAAGCCGGTCCATTCAAGAAGTCGAGCCTTCGGGGATCTGCCTGCTCGTCAGCTGTGCTTCGCCCACCTCCTCCCCATCTCCACCTTCAGCCCGATGACCATTCTCCAGGCGCCCTACGCGCTCCTCCATCCAAGGCTCCGCTCCATCACCAGTTTTCGGACCGGGGGGGTAAGACTAGTGAGCTTCGCCGGACTCAGCATCTTCCCCCGGCGATCTACGCTCACTAGTCTTCCGCCGGTTCGAGCGCCAAAGATTTGTTCATTAAAATCTCCTAACTGCTTATTTTTCTCTGTGTGAGTTGATCCAGATTGAAATACTGCTGTCTATTCCTTTGACAGAACTTGTCTAGCATAGTAGATAACTGATAGGAAAGAAAAATTTTAGACTTTTCAGAGACATAAGCCTCTCTTTGGGATTATATACAATTAGATGGTGAGGTAATAGGTCTGCAGGGGAGAATAAGATGTTCATCTCCCCACCAACACCCGCCAGCTCCTTTCGGTGGACTCCATTTTGTTCGTAAACCTGAAGGGATCTTTCCCTTAGATTCTGGATTTCCCTCAGGGTCTCCTCCTCCGCATTGGATGTACCTAAAAATTCTCAAAAGTTAGCTTTCTAGGAGGCCTTTTATTCAAATAGACTAACCACCTCAGCGATTTTCTTTTGATGTAAAGAAGTTTGACCCTTACCTCTCCTCCTGAATAACAGATCTCTTCAGGGTCTTCTTTTGTCATAATCCAAATTAGGGCTGTTGTAAAAGAATACTTTAGTAATCAAGTACTCTATAGAATAATTTTTAGACTAATTGAGGAATCAGACTTGCCTCTCTCTCTCTCTCTTTCAGCGCTTTGCTGAGAGAGATACCAGGTCATCACTGTTTCGACCATGAGGCTGCGGTTCCAACAGCAGAAATGCCGTCCAACCATTCCACCCCGCAATTCAACAATGCTTATTGGCCCTCAAAAATGCACTCTTCCCATTCAGAAACAACCAATCAGAGCAGGGAGGCATGTCTTACTGATGTCAATCAACCTACGCTGTTCAACTTATCATTAAAACACCTTACCAAAACAACGAACCATTACAGGAAAACTGTTCATCCTCCGTTATCAGTGGCCATGCTAACTAGTCTTGGCATTGTTGCTAGCTTATGTAAATTTTTATTGAGAACAAGCACATGCTAGCAGCAGGCAAGCTCATAACCCCTCACCATGAAAACCACACAAATAAGTTCCTATGATGCAGCTTTTAAGCTTGCATCATAGCTTGGTGTGAACGACTCTATGGTTCGGCGTTGGAGACGGAGGGGTGCGTCCTTAATAGCAGATTTATTGTGGAAAACGAGAGCGGCGGAGATACCAGCTGCTATAAGGTGCGCTCTATAGTCCAGAAAATATGGTAACTTTCTTGGATCTAGAATTGTTTTTGTTGTTTCTTTTAACAACTTTATGTTTTATTTTGGTTTGCTTAGCCATTTCTGTACTGGGTTATCTTCACTTCTTTTTCTGTCAAGCTGAGGACTCTGGACCATTTGGTCTAGAAATGACAGACTGGATCTCAGTTTGTTCAAAGGATTATTTGTTTTTCAGACTGGGAGCTGAGTGATGAGGGATTTTTATGGCTCTTCTGGCAACTCATTTGTTGGTTTTTCTCTTGTTGTGCAGACTGAGATAATCCCAACAAATACAGAAAAATATTTGGCTGAAAAATGTAGAAGATATCGCCCTAAAATAGTGTACAGCAGCATTAATCTGCCTGCTGTTTGTTAAAATTCGCTCTCCCAGAAGCTGCACCTATAACATATTTCTGAAGATAATAAACCAACAAAGGTTCAAAGAAATATTGTAGAGATAAACTATTGATTTTAGCCTCTGTAAAGGATAACTTTAAAGTGTGCAAGCTTCTTTCTGCTCTGTATCTATCTTGAGCTTCTCATGCAGGATCCAGCAGTGTGACAAAAAGGCTCGATGGGGAGCAGGAAGGACAGGCTGGAGCATGCTGAACATATCGCTGAGAAACTTATCGCCCCATTTTCTAAACCCAAACCACTTTCATGTGGCCTGCAGAGTTAAAGCCCGTCTCACAGAGGCTGAAGGAAGTCAGAAGATGCTGGGTGTCATCGCCTGTGACACAGCATGGAAACACACCAGAAACTGTCATTATGACAGTTGTAGACAACTACAGACGTCTCTGACCTAACTTTACACAAATCTATTCCAAGTATCTTGGAAACATGTTCCACAAAACCTCTAAAAGTTTGCTTATCTGAGTGTATCCTGTGTATTTAAAAGTATGACCCTGAAGTGCTATTTTCAAAAGACATCTTGAGTGAATATGTGTCAAAGTATCTCTGAATAAGATAGGTACTCTTCACTGTTCAGAATAGGTTTCTGAAGGGATTTTGATAAGTCATAAAACTTCTTTTCTTTTTCAAATTTTACAGATTAGCAGAGGTTATCACGCCACTTCACAATTATTGAAAATATTTTGAAAATATCCTGTTATTTTATTACTACATTTAGTTAATATTGAGAGGTTCTGTGATAACATGACAATGTTGTGCAACAAATTTTGGTTTGGTTATGAATAGCTAATAAGTATCATGTGTTTTTAAGGAGTCTTTTGTCATTTGTATACAGAAAAGTTTTTTTTTTAATAAAAACCTTTTATAAAACTTCGCATAAAAATTAGAAATTAGAATTATTTTACAAAATCGCTTTTACTCTGTTTGTACAGAGTAAAAGCAAAGTGTCCAGTCACACACAGACTTGATACTTTGAGAACAACCTCTCCGTCTTGAACATCCATAAAGTGAATCCTAATATTTGAAGGTTTGCGTCTGTGACTCTTAAGTCGTTCCACATCTTCTTTGGCCCATAAATTCTCCAAACTGTGATCCTCATCAGATTTTTTCTGTTGCTGGTAAATATTCACTCCAGCACCGGCCTGAGGTGTTGAAACCAGCTCTAAATGATTGTTTGGCATAAAGAAATCAAAGTTGTATTAAATCCCCTGAAGGTGTACACATCATCTCACAAACGCATGTTTAATGTCTACACTTGCAACTTTTTTATTCTGAGATGTAAGTAATTTCAAATTGCAGCCTTTATTCTTCCATCACATTGCTGGGACTTGTCGGTTCTGAGGGAAAGGATTTGTTTCATTTCCATTCTGTGATTAGATCAGAGCTGGTGCTTTACGGTTTCTGAATGTACAATCACGTTCAGAAACAACTCTCTCTGTGGCAGCAGCCGCATTTTTAAATCACGCCAGCATTTCATCTTGTAAGATGCCATTGTTTTGATAAGACAAACAGTGGTGCTCTCTCCTTTGTCGAGCTGTTTCTATGAATATAAAATCATGTGTGTGCTGCTGTGGCAGATGAATATTGCAGCATAAATTGATCAGACTGTAGAGTTAGAAATTTGATTAAATGCTCAAGGCTTATTTTGGCAGCAGTATTGTGCAAAGTCTTGAGAGCACTTTGGGCGAAGCTAAAACTGCATGGAAAACAAAAGCCATCCATTTACCTCATTAGTGTGCATGAAAAATCTTGACATGCTTTGAAGAGAGCATGCTTGTGTTGCTAAATTAGCTTAAGGGCCCAGAGCAGACATACAAGAGAGGCAACCAAACATTTTCCCAAAGTGATAATCAACCTTCCCTCGGCTGGCAGGACTGACTTTGCTCTATTTTTCAGGCATTATTGTACTGACTTCCTCAGTTAATCTTCAAACTTGCCTTCAAGACAACATTAACATGGCAGATGACAGGTTCCTGCTGATTCTCTGACGATAGCCCTCTATCACACAAACACAACAAGGCACAGACACACGTATACTGTAGACAAAAGAGACACTCAGCTGCTTTCACACCCTCATGAGGATCAGCGCCTTTGAAAAAATCACCACCTTTCTGACAGATGCAACTCAACTGTAGGTGTTGACTTTTTGAACATGACTTCCTGTCAATGTAATTGATAAGAAGCCCAGGTTTATTTAAAATTGTTGAATCTAGGTCACGGCTCAAAT